CACTACGTGGAAATTAAGAGGGATCAAATTTTTTATTTTGTTCAAAAGTCAGCTCAAGTTATTTCTGTTTTTGGATTATAGATAGATAGAGAAGATTTTTTCAGTCCGAACGAAATGACAATGTGCTGTTTTTGTGTTGCTCCTATATTTATTATTGCCGTGGGCCCTGGGCCCGTAATCTTTAACCGAGGTTGAGCCTGATATAAGTACCACATTAAATCAGACAAAGACACAGAGACGGACAGAGACACCGAGAAAGTGAGAAAGAGAGAGAGACAGACAGATAGATACAGAGAGACAGACAGAGACAGGGAGAGAGAGAGAGAGAGAGAGAGAGAGGAGTGAGAGAGAGATTGGTTTGAGGAGAAACAGTTTCACTTCACTCAGCATTGTAATCAAATTTGGTTGAAATTCAATCGAATATTTCAGACCCACAAGCTGCAACTGATATCACAGATTAAGAAACTGCAATAAGACAAAAAATCACAATTTTGGATTTAGTACATCCGAAAAGCTGGTAGACGAAACAATTATAATTTATCAAAAAATCTGTGCTCTCATTTCAGGACAACAACACTTTCTATTGGAAGGAAGCGGAAATCAGTGCAAGGTTCTGGAAGAATTATGACAACACCGAAAAAAAAGACAGTGATAGTAGTTGTCCTCCAAACTGTGTGTTCCTATCAGACACCCATCCCGGTTATGAAGGTCGAACATTATACAAGTACCGTCTTATAAATGTGTGCTGCAGCAATAAATACAAAGTTCTCTGTGAAAGTGCAGTATGCCCGGATAATGCCTGGGGTACGGGTTGCGTGAATAAACCGCCGGCGCCAAATATTATCTTTTCCGAGAACCCCGTAATCGTTCCCGGACACAGGGTCACGATTGTGTGTTCATACAACACTACACTGTCAGTGTCAGAAGCCGAGACGTACAGAAGGACGTACAGATGGTACTTCAACGATGTTCATCACGAAAAATCGAAAACTGACTCTTTGTATATCAGCAGTTTCGGTTCTGAAAATGAAGGGCGGTATCATTGTTCCTACATGGATGACTCGGTTGAGTCATTAAAAAGTCAGGTTCTTGGACTTACTCTTGATTCAAATCTGTCCCAGCCGAAAGTAACGACCGCAAGCACTCGCTTTGAAATTGGAAGCAACGTTACTTTTTCTTGCACAGCTGTCGTTGTGAACAATGGACTTGCTTATTCCTGGGAGAAAGATGGGCACGTTATACCCGACCAGGCAGGGTCTACTCTGCAAGTGACCCACATTCAGCTGGCGAACTCTGCTAATTACTCGTGTGCAGTACAGAACAAGACCACCCATCGTCTGTCTCTGTACAGTGAGCATGTTGGAATTCAAGTTTTCATTCCCGCTCCAATTCTTATTGCTCGCAGACTTAACGGTGACGACCAAGACGACACGTTAAATAGAGGTGATCTACATTTGTTTGAAGGTGATGCACTGGAAGTTGTTTGTTCGTCTATTGTTGAAGGATCGTACGGCTGGTATCGAGAGAAAGGTTTTATCAAGAAGACCGAAAAACAAACGTATACTGTTGAGAAATTCCAACCTAACCAGGAAGGGCCTGTATGGTGCGATGTGGAAGTGAGTGGCGTTCTGTCAGAGAAAAGTAATAGATTAGATCTCGTGTACACATTGCGAACTCCTACATTGTTTGTTGATGCTGAACAGGTTTGGCTGGGGTCCACTGTTTCGATGACTTGCTCCACTCTCGACAAGGACGTGGAGTCTTATATTATGTGGAAGGGAGACGATGAACTTTATGACACTTACTCGCCTTTGAATATACACACCGTGGAGAACTTCAAGTCAGACTATTTCGGCAACTATTCGTGCAGAGCAAAAGTAAACGGTAGTTGGTCCGCCTACAGCAAGGCTGTGACTCTAACCCATGTAAACCCGAAGCTAACGACTGAAAACACATCCGTAAACCATGGTGAAAACGTAGAGCTGACTTGCAACGTCCCAGGGGATCGTGACGCCATCAAATTCTCATGGACACTTGATAACGTCACGATACCGGAAGAGAAAAACGCTACTTTGCGACTGCCAGACTTTTCCAGAACCGACTTGGGAACGTACAAGTGCGCAGTCGCTGACGGCAGCCATGTTCGCGAGAGTAACGTCATTGAGATGACTTTTTTTTCATCCCGCCCTATGCTCCAGTCTCCTCTAACGGACGTACCATTCGGCACGACGCTGAAGCTTCACTGTCTCGCAACCAACAAAACTCACAACTTGTACCGCTGGATAAAAAGTGACAAGTCGCTCGCACAGGGACCAAACTCTGCTTTTGAGATCAAAGAGTTTGTGGAAGAAGACGATGGAATCTATCGCTGTCTGACCTCATTTAACGGTCTGGTCTGGGAGTCAAGCTGTGAACAGCATCTAACGGCTATCCCACGCACTTCATTATGTCACTGCAAATGTCCTAAAAACCCGGCACCTGTCAAAATTCTCATGGATACAGAAGAAGAAGAACAAGAAAAAGTCATTTTGGTTGAAACCCTCGAGATTGAGAAAACGTCGCTGTCTTCTGTGGCTAGGAAAGTAACATCCGCCCCTGACACTCGCCCCTCCAGTATGTCGGTCGGGGTTGTTGCCATAGTGATGTTGAGCTTAGTCTTTGGCTCTCTCATCCTCTTTGATGCTATTAGTGTTGTGAAATTTATTTTTAGCAAATACTCGCAGGCATACGCCAGAGCGAAAGTGGGAACGACTGAGAATGGTGCGTGACGTAGTGATTTTTGCTTTCTCTAGCAACAAAACGCACAAATCTTGCTGAAGTGCGAGTATCTATCGTTTTATCACGATGACGGGTCCGGTAGCCTAAACACTTTGCTACCTTCAATTACAAAGTTCTATCTGACATCAATGGCTTTTTGGAGTTACTTAGACCAGGGGGTCAGAAACCAAATATTCTGTCGGCTATAATCTATCAAAATCATTAGATTATTCGGAGTCATCATCAAGATATTCAAAGCATTGCATTCGAAAAAAACTTAACATTTTGTCAAATTTCTCAACAAACCTAGATCTACGTACTGAGCAGATAGAACTTTGCAATTCTAAGGAAGCGATTGGCTACCGACGCCAGGGTTAAAACTGGAAAAGGGGGGGGGGGGGGGTTGGTAAGACGTGCTTTACGGCGCTCGTAACTGCATAAGGACATGAGCGCGTGGGACACATTCAATATTTTAATTTTAGAAGGAATTAATGTTTAAACTATGACATCATTTATCAAAAAAGGCGAGACAATAACATTGACTTCCGAAAGGACAGAACTAAGAGGAACAGTATAAAGTATAAGTATAAGTGGTGTAGCGGCGAGATGTTTCGCTGGTGCATGCAAGAGGCCCGAGTTCCATTTCCGAGTGGAAAGGGTTTTTCTAATTCTCATTGAGTATCTTGGTTTTTCTGCCGGGATGTTGTATCCCACTCAGCACGGTTTGGCCTGGACAGGCAGAGTCGAAATCTCGCCTCTTAAATGATCTAAACTGTGTCGAGAAGGGAGGGGGGCGTAAACGACCAACATAAAAAAGAGAACTGAGAGTAGAACCTTGCTTGAGAACCAACTTAATGTACGATTGAGTAACTATTCAGACTCGCACTTCTTCCTTGTCTTTTTAGTGTTTTTTTATGCCGCCGTAAATTTTATAAATTTGAACCTTGATACATGTACCTTTTTTATTTAATGTCAGATTTTAATATTTTTAACGGTGTATTTTTTCCATTTCTACAATTCTGTTCGATCCAAACAAAACAAAAAAAATCTATTACATGGTAGATCAAAATGGTGCACTGGTAAAGTGACACCCTCCCCCCCCCCCCAAACCCTTCACAAACACATACATGTACACACACACACACACACACACACACACACACACACACACACACACACACAGACACACACACACACACACACACGCCAAACACACTTTTCTACACTCAATAAATTCAAGCTATTTAAAGCAGACCTGCTACATTGCCGGGAATATTTTGTAAAGATCCCTCCATTTGACTGTTATAGGCTCCGTTCTCATCATCATTTAATTAGCATATCCGATCTTGAAAATTAGTCATTTTTCTTTAACATCGGCAAGTCTGCAAAGAGCGATACTAGGAAGAAAAGAGAAATCAATTGTCTACATTACATAATATTTTTTAACACAAAAAAACGGACTTCCATACACTCAGACCCCCCCCCCCCCCCCAAAAAAAAAAACCCCGTATTAAATACATATTTGTTACGATGCGGTAGAACCAGACGCTCGTAAATTTTTGTGCATCTGGAGCTATTGGTATCACCTTAAAGCTATCTTATTTGACCATCTATTGATTAAAATAATACATGTCAGTCTTGAATAGAAGTCACGACATTTGCAAACTGGAAATTTACATTTGATGAGTGTTTAATTAATGTTTTTTAGCAAAATCCACACATAAATATTTTTTTCAATGGACTTAAAGGTGTTGAACATAAATTGTTTAAATTGTCAAACTGGTGGGAAAATGCTGACATCTTCGATTTCATTATTTTGACGAGCGCCTGATTCCACCGCGTCGTGATACAATATTTCTACGAGCTGGTTGCCAGCTATGAGGATGATAGATTATGGTCTTTTAGTTTTAGTAAGAGTTTTACGGCACTTGCAACACAATAAGGTCCTATAAGTGCCGAAGAACAGATTACTTGTTACAAGAGAGTAGCATACACAAAAGAGAAGAAGGGGACAGATATTTGATAGGAAAGAAGGAGCAGACGACACCAAAGCATCCGCCAACCACCCACATAGATTATGTTAGATTGGAATGAAAGGTCAAACCACACCAGAGCACCCGCCAACCACCCACAGACACGTCGAACAGAAGTAGAAAAAAGAATGGGTAACAGGACACATAAAGCACCCCCAAGAAAGACACAAAAAAAAGAAAGAAAGAAAAAAAAACAATGAGGCCCACAAATTAAGTGATATCAAAAGCTCATTTTTATTTTTGCCTTGGTTTTATTTTTCAAGCAATCACTTCGTAGTTTTCCAAAATCAAATTCAAACAATATGACAACAGGGTACATACAGAAACAAGTTTATAGATTCTATATTTTTTCTATAACTTCTATAACATTCACGCACTTTTAAGGGCTGGTGGGGCAGCTGAGGTCTATATTGGACAAGGCCCTGAGTGCCCATAATTGCTGTGGGACATTGTGTTATTGGGGATTTGAAATCAATAGTTCAAAAGGTATACATGTATTGTGAATCGGTCGCTACGGGAATGGTGGCCATATTGGATTTTGTATACCCTTTTCAATCCCATTTTATTCCTTTTTTGACAAACTGATTCACTTCTAATTGGGCATGAAAACAGTAAATATGTAGCTCTTAAATTTGGCTTGTTGAATTTTTTATATATGCTTTAGTTTCTATTTTATGACACTTACAACTGGGTTGTAGCGAAAAAAGTTTTTAAAAAAGGAAAATTCATGCTAAGCCCATAAATAAAAAACTGCTCCATTCATAAAAAATTCAACGACCAAAAATTTAGAACTAGGTGTTGCTGGTATCCTGTCAAAATTACATTAAAATTGAACAAGAAATAGAGCAGAAAAATGGGATAATGTGTGGAAAAATTGAATTGAGAGAAAACAGCCGATAAAGGTAAGAAAAGGCTAGACAACATGGCGTGCTTTCCCAGAAAAACCTGGACAAAAAAACACAGCTTTAGGGTGTAGCAAGGCTTACATACGTTTCTGTATATTGTTCAGGAAATGTCCAGCTACTATAATATGTAATAACCCCAATTTGCATAATTTGACCCCAAAACACGATTTCTTGGTGCCCCTCCAGCCCTTAACCACTAATGTACTGAGCTTGAAGACAACAGCTTATCAAATAGAGATGTTGGTCACTAGTGCGTCTCCATTATTGTCTCAAAATGTGCACGCATTTGTACAAATCTAGGTGGGTGGTTGGCGGGAGCTCAGGTGTTTTTTTAAATGCTGATGCTACTTCTTTCTTATCTACCATCCCTCTATCTTATCATTATTTCATTTAGTATGTAACTCTCGAAAAGTATCGACTCTAATCTTCGGCACTTATATGGCCTAATTGTGTTGCAAGTGCTGTAAAACTTATTAAACATTAAGACAAAAGCAAAATGTGGAGAACCAAAATAGGAATAATTAGACCAAAATGTTCTTGCTGAGAGCGCGTCAAGCAAAAACAACATTTCACCGGAGAATCAGAAACTGTATAAATGACATTATATAGGATTACTGCCCCTTGCAACATTGTAAGCTGTTATTAAAGAGGTGGTACCTCTGAATTTAATATCCACCTCCAAAAGGATCAAAATCCTGGGAAAATTCATGTACAGGGCCTTTCCCAAGGACAAAACGTTGGACCCAACTGAGGTTTGAACCCCAAAACCTCGGTCTCACAAATAATTGCGGGATAGGCAGTCTAACCACTAGACTACCGGTGCCACCAGAGACCCAGCAAACAGCCCCCATCTGTGTCATGAAGGAGACCACACCACCCACACAAGTGTGTCAATATGTTCATAGCAGTTGCCAACTAAGCTTAATTACGGTAAGCCCACTTTATCACAGACAGGTAAAACGCCTTGTTCACAGCTCTACTGACGTTCAAAAGAAAACTTTGTCAAAGTAGTAGTCATCTCATAGCTATGTAAAAAAAATTACTCGAAATATGACAAACTGAAATTAGATGATGCTAACAACTCCAAGTCATTTGAGGCCGGCTGTTCAAGATTAATTTACAAACAATATCAGAAAACAAAAGCATTTTCTTTTATTATTTCCATACAAAAAAGAAATCACAGAGTAATTTTGAAATTTCACGACGCATTGAATATATTCCAACTCATTTTGTGAAAAAAGAGGCCATTTTCATTTAGACTTTCAGCAAACACAATTCTATACACAAGTAAATCAAAGCAGACAAACATTCGACTGATTTTTAAAAAAATAAAAGGCGTTTAAACATTACACAGGGTAAACATAATATATATAATAGCAAAATTGATAATCACTTTGATCCCACTCGTTAACATATTAAAATCTTAATCTTAGTAGGAAGAAACTAGTTGAAAATTGCAGCAGCATAGCATACACACATAATGTAAATACATTTCCTGAGCTGCTAAAGAAACTAGAATCAGACCTATCAGTAACAAAAAATGTAAGCGATTCTTCTGGGGATTAAATAAAAACAACTAAATAAATGAGCAGTCTGTCGGAACTCACAAACGTGTGTGAGTTTCAAGTGGAGAAAAATCGGCTAAAATAAATAAAAGCAATCAGTAATTCAAAAGTACATCTGCATGAACTCTGTGGAGGGAAAAAAATGTGTCATCGCTGTGAAATCAGCCACTTGTGATATTAATCAAATTAAAGAAATCGACATTTTCCCGACCTCTGGGCAATTATTGTTAATTTTTGCTGGGCTCAGCAACTTAAAAACACATTTTTGTGTGGATTTTACAGAAAAATGTGGATCCATGGTATAAAAATGTAAATTTGCAGTTTTCAAGGACACCCCAAGCTTTGGAAGTTATTAAACTTTGGTAGCTATTTTCTCCATAATTTTACCTCTAACACCAGGCGACCCCATCTCCTTCAATTACAAATAGTATCTCAACTTTTATTCAGAAAGAACGGGATTTTTTTCTAAATATATGCCCAAAAATTGACGAGCGTCGAATTCCATTGTGTCGTGACACAAATCATAAAAAAAGCTGTACATCTCCAAAGCAAACAAGATTGTGTATGTCAATACTAAAGGGTACATAGAGTCCAAACATGCCTGTCTGCTGCTAGGATATTTCAGCAAAGCGTTAAAACAGTTTAAAAAAAGGAAAAGAAAAACGTGTTTTCCTACACAGTTACAAAGAACTTGAGTAAAAGGCATTGCAAATTCTGAGAAGGCAAAATTAAATTCAAAAGAAAAAAAACACACAAAAATATAATGTATGTACAAAGGTACACATAAGTGTCCTTGGGTGCGAGTCTGTGAAAAAAAACAACTACTCACAGAGTGCGAGTGGGGAAAAAGGTGCACCTAGGACTCAGACTTGACTAAACAATTAAAAAATCAGGGAATGTGTAGAGATATCTGGAGATTACAACTCTGGAATAAACGCTCTTGGGAGTACACAATAAAACGATAAAAATGAAACTAAAGACAACAGCATTACACTAACAAAAATGAATGTTACGTACCAAAGTTGATGAGATAAAAATTCACAGCACAAAAAATTCGCTTCCTCAAATTTCATTATGTAGAACTTAAAGCATGGGCAGTCTAAAAAAGTTGATAATCCTCGAAACAACTCTCCTCCCCCCTCCAAAAAAAATAAAATAATTAAAAACAAGATATAACTCCGTTTCTTACCAAAATAACATTGGGCTCCAATCACAAATTGTAACATTCTGACGGTGCTACCTGCTCAGCAGATCATAGTATGGGCACTCATCTCATCAGAGGTGACATGTGGTTACAAAAGTAAAAAAAAAGTCCTGAACTTTTCCGACCCCACAGAAATGTGTGCTGCAGGGAGTCTAAATTTACAGATCGTATTCTCTAATGTGTCCTATATCAAGATTGTTCTTAAATTAAGAGACTAAGCCCTATGTATGAGGTAAAAAGATATTGAAATACAAATAAATGTATATGCAAGAGTATAACAACATCAAGGCAATTTCTAAAATTAGAATTTTCGGATTTATTGGGATTTCTGATTTATCTGGAAAATCGGCACCTTTTGATTTGATACTACAGCAATAGTTTGTTCAGCACTGCAAGACTCACAGGGCCCTGAGACAGGAAACCTGGCCAACCCCACAGACACTACAGGAGAAGCTATACGGGCCGACAGATGAACTGAGCAGGACGGCCCAATATAATATGGCAGATACCAGACTTCAAGTGTGATGCGATGGAGAAGAAGAAAAACACAGCAATAGTATTCCTGATGCCAAAAACCTGGCTTACAGTTGGACCGGGTTATGTTTCCCGTATAAGTGGCCCCATACATGTTGTCTTTGTTCAAATAAAGGATTCATGGAGAAATCAGGTGCTCTTCAAAATAATAAAAGCAAAGAAGCCAACATTTTTCTAGGCTCTTGGCAATTTTTTTTTCAAATTTCCATTTTTGGGTTCAGCACCTCTGATGTATATTTCTAAACACATTTTCGTGTTGTATTTCTGAAAATCATTGATTAAAGGCACAAAAATGAAAACTTTCAGTTTCCATGGACTCTCAAGCTTCGGAAGTCACCACACTTTGGCACTCATTTTCTCGCTTATTTTGCAGCTGAAACCAGGTGACTCCCACCTCCATCAATTGCAAATATCTTGACTTCTTTTCAAGATAGATGGGTATTTTTTTTTAATCGAAAAGCAGACAAACGAACAAGTTTTAAGATGATACCAATATTTCTATATGTCAAAAACTGATGATCGCCTGATTCCACTAGGTCATGACAAAATAATCCTTACAAACACGACATGCTGGTTTTCAAACAGACAGAAGGCAAGAACAAACAAATTTGTAGAACAATATAAAGTAAAGACACAAAAATATAGAAAAACATACCACCACTAATGAGCTGTATACCATCTATATCAAAATTGTAGAGGTATATACAACAGTTTACAGTCTACAGGACATAAAAACATTACTATTAATTTATCTACAAGGCCGGGATCATTGCAGACGGAACAAAAGATAAAAACCTTTACAACCAACATCCTATAATACAATTGGTATGACATGGGTTTTAACCCCCTATCAATACTGTAAGGTCATGGAAGAGGTCTCACTTCTGAGTTTGACATCCATCTTAAACAGATCCGAGCCAAGTGAGATAGGATCCTTGAGAGCTTCCCAAATAACTGAAGCTTCTTGTGTCAGTTAGTTCATGTTGGAACCCAAAGTTTAGATAAAATTGTTTCTGATTTTTGGTCGTTATATTTTCTTGTTTGAGGGTTGTTGGTGGTGGTGGGGATGGAGGGGGGAAACAACAAAAATATGAATAAAATAACAATGCAACCTCAGAAGATTTCATTTACATTGCTTGAATAATATCAGTGTAAAGTCAAAATTGTTGAAGTGGGCACTATAGGGTCAAGTTCAAGAACTTGGGACTTGAACCAGGACTATCTGTGCATACATACGTGTCCCCTGAGCTAGGGCTAATAACCAAAACACACATATATATATATATAAAATATAATATCTAAACTGCCACATGTTGCAATGGCGCTAGATCTCTTACATGGGGAGACCCAAGGTGATAAACTGCACACAAAAATAAATAAATGTATACATCTTTGTCTATACATATTTCTTAGACAGATATAACTCTATATTATACTCGGCACATCTGTCTCTCTCTTTCTGTTTGTCTCTCTCCTTCTCTCTCTAAATAGAAAGACGGTAAAACTGTGAAAGCTGCGAATGTAATAGCAGAGAATGTGGAGACTTTGGTCCCCCAAAAGGACACTGGGCCGAGAAGACATGAGAGGCATCGTGGCGAAATCAGGCGCTCATCAAGATAACGAAACTGAAGAATCCCACATTTTTCCGCCCCTTGGGCAATCTTTACAGGTTTTTTGTTGTCGTTTGAATAAGTACCTTAATGGCTCATTTAAAAACATTCCAGCGTAGATTTGACAGAAAAACATTGATCAGCGGCACCCTAAAAATAAAAGTGTAAAATTGCAATTTCTAAACATACCCAAGTCGGAGCGGGCACGAGCCGAGAAGAGTACCCCTTTCTCGTGAGAAATGCTCTTCCCGCCATTTCCCGGCCACTAAACTACTAGCCGGTACTAAGAAGTGATACCGCTCGTTGGCTTGACATAACGAGTAATGAGAGTGAGAGAGTGATTGGTGTCGATGGAAAGGGCGGCACAGCCAGCGAGAAATGACACGCAGACAGTGTCACCCATCACCGTGCTGTCCTGTGTCTAAAACTGAAAGGGAGGGAACAGGGTGGCGAGACGAGGCGAGTGGGGAGTTGATCAGGGCCTAGGCCAAAGTCTCCCTACCTTCCTTCACATCCTGTGCCTGCGCAACAGCGATAGCATAGTTTAGATCCCGGCCACGGCCGACCTTCTCAAGCTACTCGTCAAATGGCGCGAGAAGAGAAATCTCGTCCATGGCCGGCCCTCTCGCAGAGCGAACTGCTCATCCAACGGGGTGAGAAGAGAAATTGGTCATGAGACGAGAAGCACTTCTCTCCGGTACCGGTCCCGGCGAGAAGAAGGTCAGCCTCTTGGTCTTCTCGCTCGGGAAGAAAAAAGCGCTCCCCGCCCGTCTCTACACCCAAGCTTCGGAAGTTGCCAAACTTTGGCGATTATTTTCTCACTTATTTACCTCTGGCACCAGGAAACCCCCTTCTCCTTCAATCTCAAAAATCTCTACTTATTTTCAAAATACGTTGGTACTTTTTTCATAAAAAAGCAAGACAAATGAACAAGTTTTAAGATGAAACCCATAACTCCATACTCCCACAGATTGACGAGCACCTGAATCCACCGTGTCGTGACACACACACTCTACAAAAGACTCTCAAATTCAAATTTAAACGTTGCTCTACGTCACCACAATCTAGTAATCTACATCATCAATAAACTACAAGGCCTCTTCCTTTTGAAACGTTAGTAAAACAAAGTGCATGGAACATGCTGTAGATCATGGGCATTTGCTATATAATGCAATCATTACCGTTTAAATGTTATAGTCATTATTAATATTATCATTATTATCAGTATCATTATTATTAGGTGAACAGCTTATCACAATAACTGTTGCACAGTATAGATAGACATATACAATAAAAAAAGTGTCATTTAAAGAGCTAATATTAAATGCATTTTTTCTCCTTGCTGTCAAACTATTGCACTTCAATACTGAAAATGCTTCAAATTCCTCCCTCTCCGAGTCCCTTTCTCAATCAAGCCCATGGTCTACATTACAAATCCAGAAGCAAGCAGGCTGCAAAAACAACTCTCTAATAAAGCATAGGGAACAGGAAAACTGGGGAGATTATACATCCAAGGACAAATATTGATCATAAACCGAGTGATTGGCACGGAAACTTCCTGAACATCATAATACAATGAGCAGACCTGCAAACCACTCCATGACCAAAAATATTTTTCCTCACTATCCTCCACAAAAAACTGGAGTCTGACGGGGAAAAAGTGAAGAAAACTCCAAACCCCAGAAGTATCAAGATTACAAAATGAACCGACTGTTGCAAATAAATGTGTACAGCAAAATACACAAGAACAAAAATGTGTATTTTCATGTCATATTATTATACCATAAGTGGCAAAAATATTGCAAAACAATCTCCTTAAAAATGTGTATTTCCCATCATGTACAATAAGGAAACAGAATTCAAGTAAAAAGTCGTATTACAAGCACATCCAAGGTGTTCTTTGATTGGCAAAAAATAAATTAAAAAATTGGAGAGCTTCGACTTGTTAGGTCGGAATAACGGTTCAAATACATTAGCTCAGTGGCATGAATAAAAAAAAAAGGAGTTTGGGAGGGGGGGCCGGGGGGGAATGAAAGACTCTAGAACAAAAACCCCAGTAGATTAAGATTACAAATTTGAATACTTCATGTCAAATTTACCTGTTTTTGCAAATACACACAAAATATAATCGCAAAACAAAAATATGTATTTCTATATCATTTACGATAAGTTGGGAACACCAAAACACACTTCAAGACTGAAAATACTTTAACTTCACACATCCCCCCCCCCCCCCCCCCCCCGCTTTTTTCAATGCTGTTAATGTTCTAAACGATAAATTCACAAGCACACTACTACAACAACGTTCTCTTACAAAGCACAGAAAACAGTGGAGATTGTACATTCACAGACAAATTGAATATTAGCCGAGTGAGTGGCATGGGGGGGGGGAACTTGCTGAACAACAAAAAAAAACAAAAAACCTATAACAGTTCACGCTCATTAGCTGACTGCTATGGGGAACTCACCGACAGACCTGCCAACCACTTTATGACCAAAAAATGGGAGTTTGGGGGGAAAAAATAATCAAATCCATAGTGGCAAATTTACCTGTTTGGCAAATACACACAAACAGTCACAAATAAAAATGTGTATTTCCACCACATTCATGACAAGTCGCAAACACCAAGATGGAAACGAAATTTGAGATAAACATCAAATTTGAAGCACATCAGGTCCTATGGGCTAAGAAATTCATTTATAGAGACACTAGCCATCCATGTGTCTAGGTGCTGATTTATCCAAAAAGCAAATTGATATTATTTTTTTTTTTAAATAGGAGAGCTCTAACTTTATTACGGGAGTATTTGGCAGGTCTGTACTGGCCACCAAGAGGTCACCAGAGTTCACATCCCCGGGCTGACCCAGCCGCCAAACGCCTCCTCCAGCTCCCGGGCAACGGCCAGAGACAGGTGGTCCTGGTACGGAGCGGCCACTACCTGCAGCCCTAGAGGGAGACCATCAGAGCTCAGGCCCAGGGGGCACTGGCTCACGGGGAAACCCAGCGCGTTGAACAGGGCTGTGTAGGCAAAGTTGAAGGGAGTGCATACGGGATGGTGGTGGTAGGGAGCTATTTTGGGGTGGGAGGGGTACAGGAAGACTCCATCATCACCTAGAACAGACACCAGGCGCTCCCGCAAACTGTCCAGCTTCTCCACCGCCTTTAAATCAGCCGACTTGGTCATGGCAGGCAGGTAGTCATTGAGGATGCCAAGGGCTATAGCCGGAAGTGTATGCGACGAGGACCCTACAAGCCAGCGACCCAATTCCAGCGTGCAATTCACATGGCCGTCCTCCTTCCCGGATATGATGCAGGCGAATGACGGGCCATCGTCAGACAGGTTCATCTTACCCGCCCACATATTGACGGATTCCCGGAACTCTTTGAAGTACTGCTCTGTCACCGTCGCACCTTTCTTCCTGAAATGTTCTGCAGCCTGAAAGGACACACAAAAACAAAACGAGAGATAGTTTCAGGAGGTCCTGCTAGGGTCAGTACTGAAACATCAGAAGAATGCAATAGAATGAAAGCCACGAAAAGCTTTGTGGGAGCAATAAAATTTGTCGCATCATCTCTTGTGGCCATCAACTTTACTGTTATTGATTTATCAATGCATAAATAATATAAAAAACAAACATACAGTTGGGCACAGACAACTTTATTTTAACATGTCAGGAATTAACAAATATATTCAACACATACATAATTTGGGTTAATCGATAACGAAATTAAAGAGCTATCAGTTGGGGAATGGCAAATTGTACGACCTAACTGTAGTTTAGAATTTTCCATATTTGCGTTATCTGAGCCCAACTATAATATGTTGTATTTAGCAAAAAGTCATCAATTTAAGTGATATTATAATAAGACTGTAATATATATCACACTTCACATGCACATATCGTGTAAAAGCACAAATTCCGTTGATAGTACGGGTAAATGTTTAACATCACTATTGACATAATCTAGACCATTGATACTTTGACTCTGCCTTTTAGTCTACTTCGGCCAAAAGGAACAGAGCATCCAAACAGAAAGACAGAGACATTAGATGAAACAGACTTCCCAAACAAGATTCGAACTCACGTCTATGGCGGTCAAACATAAAGTGCCTCAGCTTTGCACCACCATCATTTAATTTCTTAAAAATTCACTTTAAAAAACAACAAAATAAACCGTGGTAAGTATAAGTGAGATCTCCTAGCATAAAAATTGCCTGAAAGGTGAGAGACATGATGTGTTTTTTAATTCAAATAATAATAAAAAGCATTTAATTTGTATAGCGCAAATTCTCATTCAACAGCAAGATCTATGCTCCTTAAAATCTACATTATTATCGAAGCAGTCCTGATAGCATTCTGAAACAATATAAACTTGCTGGGACGAATACAGTAAAAATCAGTAGCAGAGTGGGGGAAAAAAGAGGAAGTTTTAGTTTTAATTTTAAGTTAAAGTTTTACGGACTTGCAACACAATAAGTAAAAAGAGGAAACAGCTGACATTCCTCATGCAATATAAAAGGGAAAAATAGGGAGAGGAAGGGGAACAGTTCAGGCTTCTGGAACTTTAGAAATAATTAAAACAGAAGCAGCAGCACCTTATGATTGTTTTATAAATTAGAGGTTGGGGTTGTTATGAGCTTTAAGCTCCATTTGACTCGAACAACTAATCATGAAGTCAGAACCTTAAGCCCATTGACAAAATTACAGAAGGATGTACAAAAATAAGAAGAGACCATACATTAAAGTGACAATAACCCTGTCCCATCATCAGAGATGCCAACTGGCTACGAAAAAAATTCCTGAACTTTTCGAACCCAATGGAAACATGAGCACAGGGACTCAAAATTTATGGATCATATTAGACTGTTTAAATATGAAATGCAATATGACATGCAAATACAGATTAAGACATTGATAAATATATAAGCAAGAGAATATCACATTGCAAAAAGGGACAATTTCAGTACTCCGGATTTCCAGATTTATCCAAAAAATTGGTACCTCTTCATCATAGATATGCAGTACTTCCCACTGGCGTATGGGGGGCATACCTATAATCCGTGCCTTCACCTGAGCACTGCAGGATGTTCATAAACCCACAGATAGACAGCATTTACAGGACATAAGTAAAACCCCTTACCTTGCACAACGCTGATGCAGGATACTTATGTCTTGTAAGCGCACTGGCCATTTTTAATTATGGAAATGCATTACACAAATGCCATGCATTCTTATTACTATTATTTTTATTATTATTATCACCTTTCTTTGGGCTTCTTTAAGCTGTGGATCCACTTTGCTGACCAGGATCGACCCAGCATCGTCGGGAACAGATATAACTCGTAGTTTTGCCAAGTCAACCTGAAAATAAAAGAAGGCATACAGTTTACACAGAGCCCACATTGAAACACTTTTTATCAACATCATCATGATTAAACTTTTCGTCAATTTTAATATAGAGGGGAAAACAAAGAACCTCAGTAGCAATCAGTATCACATAAAAGCAAAATATTCTATTCTTTTTGTGTTAGTAGAGGTTTTACTGCGCTCGCAACTGCATAAGGTCATATGAGGGCCAGAAGATTAGGTGTTACAAGAGAGTAACAAACATAAAAAAGAAGAAGGGGAGAAAAGGACGATAGATGTTTGATAGGAAAGAAGGAGCAAACCACACCAGAGCACCCGCCAACCACCCACATATATTCTATTCAACTACTGCAAAGTTGAACAATAGGGACAAAAGGTGGGGGAGGGGAACATTATGTGTTTATGCATTTCATGTGTTGTATGCATGTTTGTCTGTGCAAATCCAGGTTTATATGTATTCATTTGTACATTCATTTTAATACAATACTTTGTACGTACATTTTTGCATCCAAGACATTTGGAAAAACTGGTATGTCTAATGGATAAAAATACAGCCAGCCAGCACATAGCGACATCAGCAGGATGCAGAAATTTTTTCGTTCAGCGTGAACTTCATTAGGTATGAGATTTAAATAGAGAATACGCAAGTAAGAAAAAATTTGGGACCTTAAAAACCTGTTCGCTATATGCATGTTTCATTATATGTGTATTAGACTGTTACTACAACTACTATTATTATTACTATCATTTTTATTATCTATACTATTATTATTTATTCAAGTTACACCATCAAGTAAAAAAAAAAAAAAGAGGAGGATACTCACCGCTGTATCCAACTTCAATTTGGCAACTCCCGCTGGTCCGGCCATGACTTTCAGACAAGGGATGAGATCGGAGGCATAACGGCACATCGGTCCCGTGGCCAGCAAACACATTGCTTTTTCACTCGCTATAGGAAACTGACCACTGTTGTCCACCACACCTGGACAGTGAATAAGTCATCTGTAACTAAACTCATTTCAATTCGAATGGATATAATTTACTATTTCTGAATGCTCTGGTAAGTATTGAGATAAATCAAGGTGATATTTATACCTTTTTTCCCCCCTTTTTTTTTTCGTAAGAGTTTTAAGGCACTTGCAACACAATAAGGTCATATAAGTGCCGAAGATTAGAGGTGTTACAAAGAACAAACAAATTTCTTTCAAGTTAACAAAGGAGGTACAAACTAACTCAGCCAAACCTACTCTAACGGCCACATATCCGATACAATTGCCTCTACAAACGAAACAACCACTTCCCATCTCTTCCCCTTCCCCTCCTCCAACATGCATTTTTCAAAATACTACAATGACATTGTCCACAACATTCATCTTTCTAAGGCAATCATTTTTCTCCTTGACAATGAGTGGCCGTTTTGGACAAATATGACTGTACAGACTTAACATTTGCACTATCTAACCTACCAATGCTTGCTTTGTGGCCAAAGATGCCATTGAAGAAGCAAGGCATACGAATACTGCCGCCTATATCGGATCCAATTCCAATAACTGATGCTCCCGAGGATAATACACTGCCTTCACCTCCTGTGGTATACAGACACATGAAGGGCATTAATTACTGACAAAAAGTTAGGAAAACAACCAGTGAATCAGTCATCATTTGGAAAATGAGTTTTTCAATGTGCATGTGTGTGTGTGCGTGTCTGTGTGTGTGTGTGTGTGTGTGTGTGTGTGTGTTTGTGTATGTGTGGAGATATACAAGTTTGTACATACGTGTGTGTGCATGCATGTGTAGCTGTGTGTGTATCTGTGTATGTGTGCATAAATGTCTGAGTGAGTGTATGTGTGTGTGTGTGTGTGTGTGTGTGTGTGTGTGTGTGTGTGTGTGTGTGTGTGTGTGTGTATGTGTGTGTGTGTGTGTTGTGTGTGTGTGTGTGCGTGCATGCATGCATGTGTGAAAGTAAAAGAAGTATGTTCATGTACTATTAAGTGTGAATGCATATTCTGCGTAAAAGAGCATGTATGTGTGGACGAAGGCGAACAAATATATACAAGTGCAAATTGCCTTTTAATAATAAAGACCTGTTTAAAGGGCAATAACTCGGTTATCTTTGCACCAATTTCAACAAAACATTAAAAGAAAAAGAAAAAAAAGAATGAGAAAAACTCAAACAAGGTTATGTCAAATGCTTCAACACCATGAAGAAAATCAATATTCGAAACTGCATTTCTCTCTTCCTTATCATTTTTTACTAGCGCGTATCGCACATACGCTTCCTTTAGCACAGTCTCATTAGATTTCTTCTCCTTCCATGAAATTCTCAACAGTCCCCTTAAAAACCACATTTCTGCTGCCTCTAGTTTACGATGACAATCTTTTGCAATTGTCTAGGATTCAAACCCACGAATACAAGGGTTGATCACACATAACCTTTGTTTTAGTTTTAGTTTTGTTTAGTTTTAGTGTTTAGTAGTGTTTTCACGGTGCTCCCAACTACATAAGGTCATAGGAGCGCGAAGGGGTAGATGTCAACAGAGAAGTCCATACAGAGAATCAGGCTTACTCTGCTCATCTCTCTAGCTTCAACAGCACAAAGTCTGCTTCGACTATCAAGGCACCCCGGAAATAGCAGGTCACAAGAGAGTGACAAACATACAAAAAAAGTAGAAGAAAAAATATAATAGTAAGGATTATGAAAAAAAAAAGCAGCAGTTCCCCGTTTGCAGTTCAGGCAGTTATGAGCATGACAATGATGAATCAGCCCATTTAGAATTTTATTGAGCATAAGAACATGCTAATGTTCCCCCTTTGGGAATGGCCTAAAGATTCTCCAGTAAGTAGCACCGCCCAGGGGAGTGTTTTAGTTTTAGCACCGTAAGAGTTTTACGGCATTTTCAACACAATAAGGTCATACAAGTGTGGTAAGTTAGAGGTGCTACAAGAGAGTAACAAACACAAAAAAGGATGAAGAGAGCAGATGTTTGATAGGAAAGAAGGAGCAAACCGCTCCAAAGAACCTGCCAACCATCCACATATAACCTTAACACTTTGCCATCATAAGCATTTTGGGGGAAATTCAAAGAAACTGGGAGGTAAACATCCCGATCGGCGTTTTGTGATCGGAACGAAAGTTCGGCATTCTTGCCGACTGACGAGATGTGAAGGCAATAAAAAAGATCCTTATTTTGGAGGTTATAGACCAAAAAAACTCAAACATTCATGCAATTCGTGACAACAGGAATTCCCTAAAGCAAAAATACCAACAAGAAAATGACTTTGTACATGACGTATTCTCCAACACAACAAACAGTATGAAAAAAAATCACCTGAACTTCCTCCAACTATGCAGCTGGTGTTGTAAGCATTGTTACTGCAACCGTATATATAGTTAGAGGACTCGAACCACATGCAAGCCTCACTAACATTAGTCTGTATAAACGGAATGGCGCCGGCTGCTTCCAAGTTGTTCAGTACTGGCGCATTCTGGGACTGCCGAATGTGTCGTCTCCCAGGCACACCAGATGTGTTGGCCATTCCTGCCACAGGTATAAAAAGGTATAAATTGGAGGGAGGGAGAGAAGGAGAGAGGGAGAGAGGGAGAGAGGGAGAGAGAGAGAGAGAGAGAGAGAGAGAGAGAGAGAGAGAGAGAGAGAGAGATTTATTAATGTCCTGCTTGTTGTGTATATATATCCATAAGTGCACCTAACCTTTGTAACATCCACTGCCATTGTAAACGACAAATACAAATGTCTCTCAAAGAGATAAAAAAAAAAGATTGTCAGTGTCATTGTTAAGTATTTCAAAAAAGTGAATAGCAACGTTGTATACACTTAGCCACAAAGCATATCGTTCCTCATCTCGAAGTCCTAGGACAGCTTTCCTTGAAAGCTATGATGTAGTAAATAGTGCACAAACAAAAACGACACATATTATTCTAGAATGAAAAGGGTATGTCATAGTCATACTTAGATTTTAACTCTTTATCTCTGGTAGCAGCTTTCAGCAGCTCGCAGTCAGAACTGCTGTGCTGGTGAGACGCTGACAGCGGCTTGGGCATATTCCTTTCTGACGATTTTGACAATAAATTACTTTTCAGCAATTGCCAAAACCAGGTCTCTTTTATCGGAATTTCATTTATTAGATGAAGAACTATCAAAATAGGTCCACTTTTTTTATTTAATGACTAATTTAATGACATTTTTTGTCATATTTAGATTTAGTACGAGAAAAGGGCCCCGGCATAGTTGGTTTACCCCCCTCGGAGATAAAGAGTTAAAGTAATTTCGGGTTGTACAAAAAAGAACAAGAGGAATGATTTACAACGATAAAATAAGCTCGTCTAAAGGATCTCAGTGTAATCGAAGTGGTGGAGAGCCTCGCTTCTGATAAAAATGTCAAAGCTTAAGCCCTGCAAGAATGCCATAGGATTATTTTTAGGGAGTCTTCAAAGCTCACAAAAAACCGCAACAATTCTACTGCATAAAGAAGACCAACATCTCTCCTGTCTCTTGAATGACCAACCTTTTCGGAGATGGGCATCAAACATAATAACAGTAAAACACTAAGGTCTATCTGGGCGCAATCAGACCCCATCTCGAGTACGGATCCAGTGCATGGATGATTGCAGCACAGACTTACAAACAGAGCTGGTAGTAACGGAGTACAAGTACTCCGGTACTTGTACTTACATTACAATTTTCGGTACTTTTACTGTACTCCAGTACATTTTTTAAACCAGTACTTTTACTGTACTCCGATACTTTTTATAAAAGTACTTTTGAGTACTTTTTAAGTACATTTTGAGTACTTTGGCAGCTAAATGAAAGGGTAAGTGCAGGCATTTCTGATCATAATTTACGGAAAAAAACCCCGATCAACCGCCAAGAGTTAAAAGTTGAGATCAAAGAACGGCCTGTCGCCTCAAAGATCAGCCACTATCGTGAATGTGATCACAAGCGTTGTAAAACTCCTTGAAACGGTGCAGTGTTTGCTCCAGACGGGATCACACCAAGGTGTGAACTGACTGATGCGTTTCTTTTCCCCAAACATCGCACTCGCATCTGACCTCACCACCTAAACTTACATCACTCCCTGGGTGGGTAGGGCCTACAAGTTCGTTCCAGGCGGGATCACATCAAACCGTGAACTCTTCCCTGACCATTGAAAGCAGTTTTTCCTGAATTTGCGAGACAACCTGAATTTTAATTAGTGTGGTCACATCGTAATGATGCGTAACGACAAAGGAGGTGGGGGGGGGGACTCAATCAGAGACGGAAAGCTAAAATTGTTGGACAGGTAAAGGGGAGGGGCAACTGGATAAACGTAGATAAAGATCTCAAAACTCACGATAGGCTAATGCGTGTGTATGTTATTTATGGCATGCCTCATGCCACTGTGATTGGTCATCAAGATTGACCACTCTTTGCTTGCCATATGTCATAAATCCACCCAGGGGTCACGTCAGTTCATGGGTCACTGTAGATTCTTCCTTGGCTTCGTCGGCTAAGATTCCGTATTTTCCTTGCTTCCGAGCACTGGGATCTTAGGCGGAGACAACTGCAGTAGAGAATCTTTGGTTACACTACACTTACTAGACTAGGAAACTATTGTATTTTGGTTTGCCGTTGGCGCCGTGGACTACACAGTGTGACCAAAATCTGTCAGACCACTATAATCAATTGAAACTGAAACTGTGTTCTCAATGTGTATCTAACAATTTTTAGGCTGCCTAAATTTCTTTAAAACTTGTGTGTGTGTGTGTGTGTGTGTGTGTGTGTGTGTGTGTGTGTGTGTGTGTGCATTAATGTATATTGCTTGAGAAGAAAGGAAGTAGTAAGAAAGGTTTTTGAAAAATGGGTATTCCAATGTAAAGCGCATTGAGCTACTTTTTTGGAAATGCGCTATATATAAATGTTATATATATTATTATTATTATTATTATTATTATTAGTTCCCTGTTGCAGATCAGGCACTGTTATGAGCGTGACATGATGAATCAGTCCATTTACAATTCTACTGTGCTTGAACGAGAAATGTCCCCCCTTTGGGAAAGGCCTAAAGACACTACAGTCAGTGGCACCGCCCAAAGGGGTACCCTGAGACAGGAAACGAGGCCGACCCCACTGACACTACAGGAGAAGCTATTCGGGCCGACAGATGAACTGAGCAGAATGGCCCAATTTATGACAGATACCGGGCTTCAAGTGTGATGCGATCGAAAAGAAGAAGAAGAAGATAATGACAGTAAACTAGGGAAATCATTAAGTTAAGAGTGAATGAGGTTCTGAGTTCAGATACAGGGGTACTTTTACTTCATCTGTCCTCTTATACCACAAGGTGTCGAAGGGAGATGTTATTGTCAGACTATGGTCAGGCATATTGCTTTTTGGATGGTCGTATGTGAAGCGCGCTGACAAAATGAGTTACTTCTCGAATTCGAGCCCTATGAAAATAGGGGCCTACATACATCACGCTTATAGCTGAAGTTTTTTAAATTCATAAAATAATAAAAGGTATGTTATACACTTACAGAATATGGCATCAATAGAAAATCTACAAATTTGACTCTAGTGTCGATTTTTGGCCAATATCTCGACTTTTGGATTGAGAGAAGTAACTCATTTTGTCATCATGCCTCACATATTGTGCCTTTGAAGAACAAATCAAAGACAGAGGGGTGTTTGACAGAAAAATGTTGAGAACTATAATGGGATACATTTGATATATTACATGAAGTGATTTTTAGGATCAAAAAGCCTAGGATTCAGACTTCCGTATGTGTCATGATGCAGTGGAATCAGGCTCTCATCAGTTTTTGGGCATATGGAGTGACAGGTATAGTCTGAAAGCTCGTTCATTTACTTATCTTTTAAAGAAAAAATAGCCATCTATCATAAATAGAAGTCGAGATATTTGCGATTGAAGGAGGTGGAGTTTGCCTGAAATCACAGGTAAAATTAACGAAAAAATTGCTGCCAAAGTTTTAAGACTTTCAAAGCCGTAGTGTCCTTGGAAAAATGCGAATTTACATTTGTTGTGCCACAAAACAACATCAAAGTATTTAAGTAAAATCTATACAGAAATGTGTTTTTCAATTGACATAAAAGGTGTTGAATCCCAAACAAAAATTTCACAAAATATTGACCAATGGGTAGGAGGTTAAATGTCAGTTTCTTCAATTTCACTATTTTAATGAGCACCTGATTTCATCATGATGCCACTATTGCCACACATACCATTCACTTAGGTCCCCACATTCTCATCCAATTCCCCTTTGACTCCCATTAAGCAGAATAATCGATGTCATAAAAGTAAAAGCACCCTCAGACTGAACTGTATATGCAGAAGGAGAAGAAAACCTCGGCAATACAAAAACCACCCAATTTTTTTTTTTTTAAATTTCAGAGGGCATGATGGAAACATCAAGAGGACGATCAGGAAAACCAAAGCCAAGAAAATGAGAGGAGCATGACATTGCAAAATACAGGTGGTGCATCCACAGAAACCATGATGCAATAAAAAGCTGTTGATGATGATGATGATGATGATGATGATGATGATGATGATGATGATGATGATGATGATGATAAGGATGATGATGATGATGATGATAAGGATGATGATGATGATGATGATGATGATGATGATGACAACGATGATAATGGAAAAAGACAGAATACTGTTGATGAAGATTATAATGGAACTGATGATAGTACCAAAACAAAGCATTCCTCTTTTAAGGTGTCCTATCCTTTTGTATTATACTAATCCCCAAATGTATACCTGTCCAACTGAACGCTTCCTTCACAGACAAGGGCACCCCCAACAGAGGTTTAGAGTCCACGGAAAATTCGCGATCCCTCTCCTCCTGGCTGAGAGAGTCCAGCCTGGCATCCAGCTCCTGTGCTCTCCTCAGGGCTCGGTCATACTGCTCTCCAACGACTACATTGATCAGTGGGTTCACTTCCTTCGCCCGGACGATATAAGCAGCCATAACATCCTCAGCCCGTAACTGAAGACAGAAGATTGTTTTAGTAAGAGTTCTTTTAGTTTTCGTAGTCGTAAGAGTTTTACGGCACCTGCAACACAATAAGGTCATATTATAAGTGCCGAAAAATAGACATATGTGTTGCAAGACAGAAACATACACAAAAAAGGAGGAGAGATAAGGACGATAGATGTTTGATAAGAAAGAAGGAGCAAACCACACCAGTGCACCCACTAACCACCCACTTGTAAGAGTTTTACGTCACTTTGCAACACACACAAATAGGTCAAGTGACGAAGATGAGGTGTTAAAAGGGTGTAACAAACACAGGAAAGAAGGAGCGGTAAGGAAGACAGATGTTTGATAGGATAAAAGGAGCAAACCACTCCAAATCCCCCCCTACCACCTACTGAAGGCAGTGGAGCGGGAGTAGCAATACAAAAGAGCGAAGTGCGCTTGTGTGAAAATACCTAAGTGAGCGTTAAAAACCAGGAGTTTCATATTATTTGTAGATTCTATGTTAACACACAAGTACTAATAATTATTCCACTGCATTAATGATAAATATTCTAATAAAGACATACTCATGATGCTTTCAGGGGAAATCAATATGTAACATGATGTAACCTACACAAAATCAGAAAGTTGAAAATAATATATATATATATATATATATATAATATATATATGCAAAAAATGCCAAAAAAAACACTTACTGTTCTGTTGCGAATTTTCTCTGCCACATCTGAAGCAGGCATTAGCAGCAGCGGGTCTGACACTCTGGAAACTTTTTTGCCCTTATCTTTATAGAGGAATCGGAACAGAGCATCCACCAAGGTCATCACGACATACGTGACAGCACTCACCGACCAGAAGATCACATTTCTTCGGAAACCCATTCTGGGGCTGCTAGGGGGAGTTTTATGTCCCCCACTCACTCGTCAAACTTGCCCTGAAATATTGATATAACAATACACTTATAAACTATTTTAAAAAACAACAAGCTAAATTCAAACTTAAGAATTATAAAGTAATACAATGTTGTTGACTTCAACAAAAATTCTAATGCCATTTTTTTTTCTCAGACAAAAGTTTGTTGACTTTACTGATGTACACACACATATATATTATTGGAAAAACAAATAAAGGAAATTGAATTGAGTTGGGGCCAGCCATATTTTCCTCCATGGAGGCGCGAAAGCTCCCATTTTGGCCTGATACGATTTGGTTCAATTTGTGACATTGAAAAACAAACACGTTTGATTTGAAGGTTACAGCCAAATTCATTTGAATTCTGTTGAATTTTCCGCTAAAGTAGTTTGCCCAATCCAAAAAGTAAAATCTAGCAAGCCCCAACTCAATCAAATGAATTCATTGGCAAAGTGCACTTGGTATTATAATGCTAATTCATAAAAGCCTCCCTGGGTCCAATCCTTCGTCCTTGCCAGGGGAGGGTGGAAACAGGGAGGAGGAGGGGATAGCTGGCACTGGGTGAAGAAAGGCGTGACTCTATCACTGAGGCATTACGCTAGGCGTGGAGGCCAACCCGGGTCACCCTGAAAACGCTGGCTAAAGGGGCTCTGGTGAAACCATGACTGGCCTAGCATAATATAAGCTGACGGTGGAAAAATCTTGCTATGAAAAAAACAAAGGAGAGAATACGGAATCATCAAAATGACAACAGACCCAGAAATGTAAATGGACTGCGAGCTAGAACAAAGATAAAAAAACAGGCACATGGAATGTGCCAGTTTGCGTATATGAATCATTGATTATCTTCAAACCAAAGCCAACTGTGAAACAGTGATTTTTATCTATTCAGACGGTTGCTGTTACCAAAATAGAAATGTTGTTCTAAGACACGTTGAGAAGACACCCTTCAAAGTATTTTATTCACAATGTGTACGCCATTATGATGCAAATAACACTTCGCCAGAATAACGAGGCAGGAAGATGCGTGTAAATTGTCTGACACTTCATGTGCATGTTCAGCTATGCATTTTTACTTATAATTTACTCATTTTAACAAATTTCTTAGAGCATCTTGAGCTTTTTTAAATTAAAAAACAAAAGATAAGTTAATTCGTCAGCAGCATCAAATTAAAGAATAAAGATCATGCACATGGGAGAACTTACTTTGGCACAAAAAGTCAAAGATCTCCAAAGTCAGGCGCTTTTTCTGTAGTTCCCACCCCGCAATTGTTATTCACGGGTTTTGGCCACAAGAGTAGGGGGGTTTCAGGGCCCCCCTGACCTAATAAAAATAGCAAGGGGGGTATGCCCCCCCTGAATTTTACCACAATTTAATGTTTTGCAGTTGTTAGGTTTGATATCTTAGCTCACCGCGAATCAAACGTATAGATCTAGATCTAGATGTAGGTCAGGTTCAAATAAGGGGGGGTGAGAACTACCGAAAAAGCACCCAAAGTCACACACACATACACATACACAGGGAAACACACACACACACAAATGCACATACTATACACAAACACATAGTCACACACAAACAGACAAAGAAACACACTGGCAAAGGGCACCCAGTCCTGGCACTTCTCTAGTCTCCAGTGCAGGGTGCGGTAGACATGAGATTGCAATGATAATATGTTTTAATCGTTACCCTGCCAGGAATCAAACCGTAACAACCTCTCTGATCTCACTAATATTAATATGTCCTGACTACCACATACTGAAGTCGGTTCTTCTGTCATACGAACATATTGTCGCTTAAGAGTATGCACTTTACCAATATTTCACCGTGATAAAACCTCGTGTACGACAATTTAGTTGTCGCTTACTGAAGTCTGATCACAACCACGGTAGTGTAATCATTCCTCGTAATGCGTCATGATATAAGAAATCTTTTTTTTTTTTTTTAAACTAGATCTATATCTAGAGATCTATATCTAGATCTAGATCCAGATCTAGATCTAGATCTAGACCTAGATCTAGATTCTAGAGAAAATCTAGAATCTGACCCTCATTTGGGTAAGATTGAAAAATACCGGACCAGCGGACTGACTTTGCCTAACTAGAATCTAGATATAATAAAATCTAGATATAGATCAGATCTAGATCTATGTCTCAACCTTAGGGGCTTAGGAATTCATAATTTTCCCGGTTTTAATATCTCTCAATGGAGAATCTCGGACCGGTACATTGTTTTGAGTGGTCGAAATTGAAGAGGTATGACAACACCAGTTTTTTCCTTCTCCATGAAAATTTTCTCTCTGTCTCTGGTGCTTACAAGTTACGACGTCTGATCAGGGGCCATCGACAGGAGACAAGATCAGCATTACTTTATTTTATAGGGAGTGTATACAGACCCGGTAACCGGGAACAAAGTCACAAAGTATACAGACCCGGTAGGGGAACTCTTTTGTGATTTTGGAAAGTTTCAGTGCCCTCTTGGCTCAGGGTAGACCTAGGTTCTTCTGGTAGATCTATGGCCTAGGCTAGGTCTAGATCTAGATCTAGATCTAGACAGACATAAATCCTTAGTCTAGATTCTAGTTGGGGTAGGTAAGTCTGCCAACACTAGTCTACCACTACCATAAGCAGACCCAGATCCAGTCACACAATGCGATGCATACAAAGAAAAATTAGTAAGGAGAAACTGCAGACGCAGACACTTTTACGTAGATCTCTATCTAGATCTAGGATAATCTAGATCTACCCAAAAAACAACCTGCTAACACCACACCAGGCCTAATGAACTGTGTACTCTGTACTAAGCATGGGCGAAGTCAAGTCGAGATTCGGAATTCGGCGAATTCGTGGGGTCTGAGTCGGAGATCGAACATTGGGCAGGAGGACGAGTCCGAACACGAATTCCCGAACTAGGGCAGCCAAGGGGAAAATAGATCACGAGGAGCGAAAACATATTTAAT